CTGATGCAAGACTTTGTCATAGGTAACTATCGAGTGGGCTAATTATCCAGTACTAAAACATAGTTTATAGTCTCTTGAACAACAATACTGTTTCTTCTTGCCTCAGAGCAAGAGTTATAGACGTCATGGACACAACTCTTCTTTTTTAAAATATAAGAGATGGGAAAGGGAAAATAAAGATGACAGCCCCCCTCTCCCTCCTTATTTCTCTTACAGTAGTTGTTCCCATTCTTAACTAGCATCAACATGTGCTGGAAGCTGAAGGCCATTTGCAAATGATAGGCATATTACAGTGTGCTGGGTCTGGGGAAAAGGGATGGAAAAAAAATCTTGTAGGTTTACCTAAGAAACACCTATGTCCTTGCTCCATATACCCTAAGAGGGCAATGTAAGTACTACACTGGATAGTAAGGACAAAAACCTTTGTATAAAAGGCAACAGAGGCTGGGTCTAGATGTGCAGGAAGGCACTAGATCACACTTCCCCCTGCATTTACAGCTTTCTTCTCAACACAAGGCACACTGAAGTCAATTTGTCTTCTCACAGGTCTTACTGAGATTCTAGTTAGGGTCCCCCAGGGTAACACTTAGCCAAACTGCTCTTTTCAGTGCCACCAGCAGGGACTATTATGTTTATTAGCATGCTGGAAGACCAGTACCTACAGGGGATTTCAGCTAGCAGACATGCAGCCTCAGGAGTGTGATGACGCTGATTAGTGGGACAGGGAGATGTGTATGCCATGGAGTCCCCATCCCTCCCCAAGTGAAATTTCCATCCTTCAGTACCAGTACTCTCTTTGGGACAGAGATTTATTATCCCTCTACTTCTAGAAAATATCTGTTTCACTCTTATTCCATCCCAAATCAATTCATGGATTGATCTGGGATGGAGTAAGAGTGAAATAGATATTTTCTAGCTGCTTTTCCAGCAGCTGCTATTAGTGTGCATAAATAACCATCACAAATGGTCAGACCCACCTAGAAGCGGATGGATAATAAATCTCTGCTCTGCTTTGTTAGATCATTCACCTCTGTTACTGAAAGCCTGCCTAAAAGAAACAAAGCTGTCAGCAAAGCAAGTCTATCATGGGAAGGGGAAAGAAAGCTGTAAATTTACATGACTTTGATTACTCCATGAACTAGTTATATTCTCTATATGGTGTTACACCTTGCTCATTCACATAGAGCCTGAATTCCTCCCCGTGGCACGTGCAGCATGGTAACTACCACCTATCATATTCAGTTTTTCTCTCATCTCTCCCAGGAGAGAAATAGATACACTGAATTTTTGTAAGGCTTTCTAAATGTTTTTTTTTGAGGGGGGCTGGGTGTGTTTTTCATTTGTATTTACCATACATATTGTAAGGTCAAAGAAATGTGCCTGGTGTTCAGACTGAAAAATGGTGAGGTCTGTGATGGTCCTCAGTTCCTAAGGAAGTTAGAGGGAGCTAGTTCCACTGGCTCATCTGAGCTACAGTCACAGCGCTGGGTTTAGCAGCAAGAATAACAATGGTTCCTCTGGACAATAACCTCTGCAACAAGTTAAAAGGCAGCATGGTGGCTTTTTGCCATAGCAAATATTTAAAAGGGTAGGTTAGCTCCTGAGATCAGAGTCTTGTGCTTTCAAGTTGATAAAGGTGACCCTGACAGACTGGTATTGATGGACAGCTTGATCCAAGGTTGAAAGTTTTCTCAAAAAAAGCCTGTCATTGTCCATTGATGGATTTCTATTATTTCATGACAAACTATTAAAATCAGGCCAGCCTGCTTGAAATATGTCTCTACTGTGCAAAGTGACTCCATATAATGGGTACCTTGGTCTCCCACATTTATCTTGGCTCCATAATTACAGATCAATTATGCTAAGTTTACAGAAAAAGATGATGTTTTATAACTGCTGCCCAGCGCAACCACCCCAGGATCAGTAGTGAAGATTTTTCTGGCCAAACTGTGTTATCCAGTATGTTAGCATAATCCCAAGAATCACTAATAGGGCTATACTTGTTTCATTAAGGGAATCATTTGGCTTATAACTCTTTACTGCTCCTAAGAAAGACAATGTTGGCACAAGTGCTAATGGTAGGTACCACCCCTGAATACATTTAGGCTAGAAATGTTTTGCACAGCCAGAAGGGAAATGAGCTGGAACAGACTTCCACAATATAATAATCTGTATTAAATGGAGCTAGAAAAAGACAAAGTCTGTCTGTGATAGCAAGAGGAAATAACCCTGCTTAATTCACAAACTCCAGTTGAAGTTTGCAGATAGAAATACGTGTCCTTCCTGTAAACAGGAGTTATGAACTGGAATAGGTGAAACATCATTAATATGGATTCACACTACACTATTATTACTCACTTTTCAGACTTGGCCAGCACCTTAATTATATTTGTATAACACCATTGCTTCATTTGAGGAGTCAGGAAAGCATCCTATTGGTGTACAACATGAGCAGACTGGATATCCAGGGAACAGAGAAAGGGTGGTAGAGCTGAGGAGTTAGTACTCAGCCCCCCCTCACCATGTAGCACCTCCATCTTTTTATCTCCAAAGGTATGTCATTCCTCTTGGCAAAGATGGAGACAGAATGGCAGGGCTAAGAGATCAGGTCTAGGTAGGGCTCCAGCCACATCCTGCTGGGGATGGTGTGAAGGCACAGGGAGAGTGGGGCAAATTATATAGAAATGTCTCCCCTGACTTAAATTGGATGATTCAGCAAAAGGTGTTAATTTGGGGCTACCAATCAGTTGAAGCCAGAGCAGGGTTTGGTTCTCTGCTTTCTTTCCTCCAGATGTAGAATGCAAATATTCCATGTACTGGTCCATGGGGCAACAGGGCCCTTGGGGTAAGGGACAGGGCAGACAAGCTGGCACCCTAGAGGAGAAAGGTATGGGGTTGATGGGTAAGGAGACTGGGTCCCTAAGGAAAGAAGAGGTTAAAAGATCAGGTCCACTGGTAGGGATGAAGGGAGATTGATCAGCCACGTCTGAAACATAAAAGGCTTTATCATGGTACCTTTTTGGTTGACGGGAGCAGAAAACCTCCCTCCCTCAACAGTTTCTAGTTATTCTTGCAAAACTGGGGAGGTGAGGGTTCTCTTCTGAAGCTGGCACTGTGCTGGTATGAGGCACACCGTATCCTCCTTTCACCCCCCTCTGTAAAAGTATAGAAAGTGCACCTCTGCCCCATAAGATATTCAGCTCTGGATGCCTGGAACACAACTACATCAGTCTCACCATCTAAATTAAGCACCTAGGCAAATAGTACCTGCTTCCATTTTATTTCCCTGTTACAGGGACATGCACTAACTTGATCCCTGCTGAAATGAATGTGCAGTTGGAAATAAGGTCAGAAGATCATGTGGTTTTCAAGCTTCTTTCTTCCTTCATGGAGAAGCTGAGAAGCCGAGAGGCTTCCTCTTCCTGTCCCCTGGACTAAGCCAGAAGCTATAATGTCTACATACGACTTTTAAGGGAAGAGTCAAATTGGCTACTCTGACCTCTTCCATACACAGGGTGTAATCTTTTTCCAGAATGTATTTTAAATGCGAGTCAGAATTCACCAGAAGCACAGCATGGAAAAAATGCATCCGGGGCAATCATCTCTCACCCTGCACCATCCTCCTCCCCTCTTGCCTTCTGGCTTGTAGTCACACAGCAGAAGCACAGCTGGGCTGTGTCATGGAGTGCAAGGTGTTCATGGAATAACAATTCTTTAGACTGGCAATGGAATTTGCTTCTGCTGGGGAGAATTTTCAACCCATTTTTTGCTGCCAAAACCCATATCCAGAAGGCAAAAAAATGCTGATTTTGGTGGCAAAAAATGGAGTCAATTTGCAATGAAATGGAAATAAATATAACAAAGATCCCAGTAGCATAATGTGGGGTGGAGAAGTGGAAATGGGTCCCAGGGGCTGCCTGGGGAGGGGTGCCAGAAAGAATGGGGGAAGGGGAAGAAGGCACTTCACCCTAGCAAAAGTGAGCTCCACTGCCATTCTATGAAACTACAATTCCCAGAATATCTTGTGCTCTTTGACATGCATGGTGTACGCTGGCTGTTTCGTTGCAGTCAGAAAGTGCAGGAAGAGCCAGGCAGACAGCAACAAGGCAGGCAGTAGTCTTGGGGTGAGGTTCCCTGCCACCCCTATCTTTTTGGCACCCCTCACCTTAGGCAATGCTGGAGCATGTGTACTGTTTGCACCCCATATTACACTCCTGGAATCTGTTTTAGATTTATTTCCAATTCCTTGCAAATTAAAGAACTTCTTAATTAAATTCCAAAGCCAAAAGAGGCATGTGAGAATCACTCGGCATATCAGAAGATCTGTTAAGGGAAAGAGGCAGAATGTCAACCAAATCAGACGTCAAGATTTAAAAGCTCAATATGGCTTGTGTTCTGGGTCTAATGTACAAGCACTCTTTTAGCTATATATGTTCCCCTTTGTTCTTAATAGTCTACCATGTGAATGGCAAAACCCCCCCAGGCCTCAAGGCATAATTCAAGATTCCCTTGAAACACGCCATTAACAAGTATGCAGACGTACACATCTACAATAAAAAAGACAAGCAGAGAAGAATCATCTAGTCTTGTTTAGTGCATCCCTCTACACACTTCTAATCCTTCTGAAAAATCACTGGTAGGTCTTACTTTCTCTCAGCAGATGACCATAAAGATACCTGGATGTGTCAGTATCTATTTAGTGCTTCCTCTTGCTGTTGAATTTATAAAAAATAAACTTGGCAACCTGTTAGCTTTCACAGGTAGCAGTATATTATGTTTTAATTGGGAAAATATAAATAAAAACAAATATAACTCCATATTAGAAAAAGGGATTCAGATAATTCAGAAGGAAATGCCCCCCCGCCGCATATCCTACTTTGAAGATCTAACCCAACACCATATTTCTAATCTTCCTTGGCTGGCTTACCTCTGAAAGGAGAAAGTCTTAACTCAAACTTTATGTAATTAGGATGCAGTTAAATAACCCTTTTATTACAATATCTATTTTCATCATTTTATTAGATCTGAGTTTCAGGTTCAAACTTAGAATAAAAATTCCCAGTTTGGGAAGAAATAGAACCCATTCCCTCCACCCCCAGGAGATTTTCAAGGCATGGATCAATGGTTGGATTGAAAAAATATACACGGAAGGGAATAACAGTTATTGATGTATTTGAACAAACTCCTCAGCTGTGAAGAGATACCATCAGAAACAAGAAGCATGTGTACCGCATTTGGGGCAGATGTGGAAGGCATGCTTGTGGCCAAGCAAGTGCTCCAGAGAGAAGAAATTTTCTACAGAGAAATCCAGCAGACTTTTTCATCTAAGTCAAATCTATGTAGTTGTGCTCCTTGAATTGCCTGTGCAGGAATATGGTGATTGATTGTCTGCAAAGTCTTCAAGCATGAGATAATGTTACAAAGCAGATGAAAAGTAAAGCGTTTTCACCTCCTGGCCTGAGCGGAAAAGCTGCCCTGGTCTATGCAGTTCTCATTTGCCCCTAACTTATGGGCTGTATCAGATTCAATGCAGGTTCTGTGCAGTTCTGCTCCCCACCGAGGCTCATACAGGCTGGGAGGATTAAAAACGAAACCCCAAATCCCCATCAGCAGTGATCTGTTGAGCAAAGTTCACTGATACTTTCTGTGCCTTTACAGATACAGATCTTAAGAATTCTCCAGTTTCTGCCCTAAAAATGCAGAAAAGGCATATGGAAGGTTGCACTCTCCATGTGGCAAGTGCTGCAATGTGCTCTCCACCTCAGGAAGGGCAGGTAAACATAGTGTTGGAGATGGGGATTGGGAACAAGACGGAAGAAAGATGCATAAAAATGGTAACAGAAGGTAAACTCATTGCAGCACCTTCATTAGGACAGGTGCCAGCTGTGCCTTCAGCTGCGGATCAATCTGGATGTTGCTCAGTTCCTTGATATTCAGGACCATCTCGTGAGCTTGCAGAAACAACTCCTTCCCCACAGCTTCCTCCACCCTGTTGCGCCATTCCACCAGCCTTGGCCTGCCCTCAAAGATGTCACAACCCACTCCAACAGGCTGCGGAGAAGGAGAGACAGCAGCTGTAAAACACTCATGAGACTTCCATAAGGGAAAGCACCACTTCACCTATGCAACAGGCAGAATAAGACCAGAATGTATGTGATTGCCACAGAAGCGGAAAAAGCTCTTGGAGGATTATCAGGAAAGTGGGGAGGATCCACTAGTCTGTTCATGCATCTGAGAAAAGCAGCAACTGGACTGGATTCTTGGCCCTTCTTAATGGCCCTATGTCTGCTCTTGAACACAGTGGCAGCTTTTACGTGCTATCACAGGCAGCTGCCACTTGTGCACAGTGCTCAGGTACAAAAGATCTGGTGACCATCAGAGGTTGCTATTTTCTGTTTGTCCCATCTTCCAAAACACTGCACTGCTGAGATGCAGAATTGTTATTTGTCTGCCATGGGGGACCTGGATTTTGGAGATGGAAATGCTATTGCTTTGTAGGATCCCAGTCCAGACAGCATGAGAGTGAGCAACCTAGCTATGATCCACGTAACTTAGTCGGGAAAACCCCCCACTTTGTGTCCCTGTCGGAGCTCCTGGAGGAGTCACAAACCAGGGTCTTTCAGGCCTGGTTTGGTAAGTTCCCATCTGGAGCAAGATATTCTCTGTTCAGGAACTCCCAACCTCTGAGACTCGGGTCTTTTATATTATTACATATGAGCCTGTTCAGCATAGCTCCTTGCTTTCTGTTCATTGGATTTTGACTGTGTGACTGGAGAATAAAGTAAACAGCGATAAAAGGTGAAATGCAGGATAGTAACAGATAATCCTGGTGGAGGCAAAATGGGTGAGAAATGTTTGTTACAGTCAGCTTCCTTGCTGGGCTCTGACTCCAGCCTTGGGCTCCATTCTCCAGTCCTGATGAATTAAACCTTCAGTCTTATTTCTAAGGAAGGGGTGTCACATACTGTTTTCTCCCCAGGTCAGCTTCTCCCAAACAGGTTAGCTTCTCCCAATACTGAGACTGCCAGATTATAGCATCATGCTCACCTGCATGAGCTCCACAACAGCCACCAGGTCTGCCAGAGAGATCTCACTGCCCACAACAAACAGCTTGTCCTGAAGGAACTTCTCCTCAAACTGCTTCAGGGAAGCAGAGAGCCCCTCCATAACCTCCTGAAGTTTCTCTGAGGGCAATGGCTGGCCTGTGAAGAGGGGAATCAGCAGCTGCATGGAGAGGAGAAAGGAGAGGCATCACAGGCACACCTGCTCTGGATTTCATTTGTCTTTCCCTATGTAAGGGAAAGACACCCAGTAGACTTCATCAGCAAGGTACATTGACTGGCTGAAGAGGTGCTGTTTGCATGAATGGCCCCCAAGAGGGAAATCCAGATGTGCACCTAACTTAAATCAAAAGTTTCCAGCCAAGATGGTTACAGTCCAAATGAGATAACACATAAAGGAGCGCACAGAGTAAAACCCCTAGTGCTTTATAGCTACACTGCCTCCTCCTCTCCCTCCTGCTGTACCTTGTAATGGAACCTCTCAGTTATTCTGAAAAGCTGAATGATGCACATGCTTTAACACTCCAGCCCCAGCTGATTGATGGGGATCTGGGAACCACAGCCGAGTTGGCAGCCAAGGCTCCTTCGCTTCTGGCTTCACCGTGGGAATCCTGGAAGCCCTGAGAGCTGTAGCATGAGCCGGGGCTCTCTGGAGCCCCACAACACCAAAGCTGCCTGCACCCACTCTCTCATATCCCCATCACATCTACCCTTCTCGTCATTTTGTAGCAGTGGATGTATGTACAGATGGTTCCCTCTGGTTTCCAAATTGGTGAGGCTGTGAGAGAGCTGTGGTTAGAGGGAATAGAAGACTTTCAGACTTGTGTAGTAAAGACCACACTGGAGAAACCAAAAGGACCGAGGCCATCCCTTTAAGTTCCTCTTTGTGGTCTAGAGCTCAAGGTGGCTGTGCAATAAAAGGAAGTTCACTAAGGAATCCCTTCCTTCCTCCCCCTATTCTATACTAGTATTGATCCTGGAACCCAGACTACAAGGATCTGTGTTTCCCTGATGAGCTGCAGACCTTCCACATTTGATTTATGCTTTGAAAAAAAATTCTGAAAGCCTTCTCTCCATGTCCAAATGCTAAGAGGAAACAGCTCCCTCTGTGCAACTTCCTTTGATCTGGGGATGAGTGTGCTGTCTAGGTGGAGAGAAATTCCCTTTGTATCATGGCTGTTTCAATGCCTTTTTGGGAAATACCAGTAGTCTTAGCTAAGCCCTTACCTTGATCCACATGGTCTTAGGAGCATTAGCCCGGATGTTGGTATGATGCCAAGACAGATATTCATCAACAAGGGCTCGCTTCTGGATATCAGATGGGTACCAGTGATCAGGGGTATTGTACTTCCGGCTCAGGTACAGAAGAATTGCAGTGCTGTCCAGATGTTAGTGGAAGATGAAGGGCAGGAGAGTTAGATGCAAAAACATATTTGTCTGCACCCTTCACCCTCCATAATGCTGTTTCTCCTAAAAAGTGAGGCGGCTGAGATTTTCAAAGGAGCTAAGGGAGGTGAGCATGAGATAGCAAATAATCTTCATCATCTGTGGACAATGCTTTCCCCACTAGCAGTCGTACTTTTTGATGGGTCTCTCTCATTCCTTCTGGTTTCTGAGGTGTTTGGGTACCAATGGAAGCTCTTTCTTTCCTATGCTGCATCTAATCAGATCAATTCAGGGCCTTTTCCCCCCAGGGTTTCCCATCCAGAACTGTTGAGTGAAGCCAGCAGAAATCCTGGCAAAGAGAGATTGCTAGGATCAGGTCAGTGGTGTCTGTGGCAGTCTAGTGACTGTCATGATTGACAAATGATAGGAAAAATCAGATAGTTACAAATCCTGACCATTTGCGCAGATGTTTGTAAGATACTCCAGAGGGGAGTGACATAGAAAAGCCTGTACTCATAAAAGAGAAGAAAGGAAATATAGGCATCCTGTGCCTGGTCAAAGAACCCAGACAGATCCTTGTGTAACAAGGTTTTATTTATTTATTGCCTATTTGGCCCTCATCACTATAGTGTCCAAGGGACTTAGATGAACATAAATCCTGCCGTGATGTTTTATTACAGAGTACAAGTTTTTTTTTTAAGCTTTAAGAAAATCTACTGCAGTGCTGGCATCCCATGTTTTTCAGCATACTGCATAAGCATGAGAACCAGTTGGCTAAATTAGTCTGTTTTCATCACGGAAGTTATTTGAAAAGCAAGACAAAAGGACAGGTCAGCTCCTGAGCTTGGAGGAGCTTTTATTCCAATTTTACATCCTAGTATGTGATTTTTGCCTTGAGTGTATCCTGTTCATGGTAAAGAGGTTGGAAATGTAAAAAAGCCCCTGCATACATTTAAGTAGGCACCCATTGGCCAAACACGGCCACCAGCCATGTTAGCTCCTTCAGAGCCAGAAGTATGGCATGTGACAAAGGAGATAAGCACTGTGACATTATTCTTCAGCTGGAAAACTGGTGCTTTCCAATTAAGAACATGAATCAATTGTGCAAGAAGTGGCCTGTCAAGCATACATAATGTCAGGTATTCCCAGACCCTTCTTACTATCAGCTCAAGTGTAGATTGAATCATGTATTCGATTCAATACATGCACAGCTTTAAACATCACATTATTACATCTCCTGTGAGTAAATGTCCTACAATTTTCTTGTTTGAAGGAGATACCAAAGCAGACTAGCAATCTAATTTACACATGCAAATGGCTGATTGTGTAACCTTTTTCAGCTGTAAAGAATGATACTTCCTAGTTACCAAATGTGATAATTTCATCCCTACTGATGTGAATGAGATTTGGGGGTTGAATTCTTACCTTTCTGATAGGGTGAAGCTCCCATCTTTCAGTGCTGGCACTTTCTTCAGGATGTTCAATTTGCCAGACTCTGCACTTTGTGATTGTGCTAACAAGAATTAAAAGTTGATAAGCCATAGATTAGAGGAGTCTTAACCTGTCAAGGCTGAAGTAAGCACCTACCTCAGCCTGAACCATCCACGTGTAAGGAACAATCAAACCTGTAACAATATTCCACCATCATTTTACAATGGCCATGGGGTTCTTTGTTGTCATTTCTCCACAATGCAATATTTTGAGATAAAAAGGAAAATAAATTAATGATTTTAAGAATAAGCAACCTGCACACTTTTCAACCTGATCCAATTTGCCAGTGGCAGGAAGAATTTCAGGATGTTGCCTTGAGAATTCAGTAATTTGACATCTGTCAGCTGTAACTGCACAGCATATTGAAGAGTCCATTGCAAATTAGCATTCAGATACCATGATGATTAGCTTGATACATACACCCTACAGCTGATAGGTAGGGATCTTACAGAAGTCAATGTCCCACTGTCTTGGAGACAGGGAAAGAAGATGGAGGCTTGAATAAGGACAGCTGATACTTTTGTCACGTTTGCAGAAGAATCAGAGAGGCCTAGAAGCAGCAGGTCTGTGTGCAAAACTTTATAGTGAAGCTGATGGTCACTAACACCCCTCTGCCCCTTATTCTGAAGGCCAAAAGGAAGCCATTTTCCTGAAACTCATGAATGAGACCAACTCTAGCTATAGTGGAAAAGGACGAAAAAGTAGCTTGAAGGTTGTGTGTCCACAGGGATCACTGCAGTGAATGAAAATCAACCGCAGCCCAGTTGGCTTAGAAACACAGGGAGCAGAATATGGTTTGTTGGGTTCTGAATAGCAGGGAGGACTGAACACCACAAACAAAGAAGATGCTGAAGAACCTCATCACCCAGATCTCTGACCAGGAAAAGACTGAACATGGATATCAGAAAAACATCAGTTACTTTAGTACTTCAGGACATCCCAGGAAGAAACTCATCTGCCTGTTAAGATTCCCTGAGTCTGGAGTGCCAGGGGGCTGGAGCTCAGGGCTGCCATGCATTAGCATAGCTCTGGTGAGGCAAGTTTGCACAGCACTTGCCTGTACTGTGCGTGGCACCAGGCCAATGCTGTTAGCCCATCCCTTTCAGGAAAACCCAGCAGGTAGTTTATTCTTCCCTCTCTCCCCATAAAAGAGTTTAAATTCCACTGTTGCTGTGTTCCAAATAACAAGTGTATAGAGAGGTCGTTATTTAATCAGGTCTCCTGCTTCTCAAGGAAGGCAAAATACCTCTTGCTAAGTGCGCTATGGACTTATGAACTGGCACCTGATTTCCAGGGTTGGCATGCATATATGAATACAGGGTTTTTTTTACCTGCTTTAAGGTTTCTGTATATTGGCATACTAAAGTGAGAGGAAATCCAGCTCAGATTAGCATGGCCAAGAGTAGTTATTAAGTGATGGTTACTTTGTGGCCAAAAGGTTTTAGAAATACTGCAGTTAACACAGTGATTCATAACTTCAAAAATAATTTCTCTATCTGGTATGTGGGGCAGGGGCAAGAATTCAACAGGACTCCCAGTTGCCAGAAGAAAATCAGTCCCTGTAGCCCCAAGTTTTTTCAAGGTTGGATAATGGATGGAGAAGCATGTAAGAAATTCAGTTAGCTGCTTTTTAAGTATGGCAACACATGGGCAAATTATATGAAAATAGCGGGGGAACCTATTGTAGGTCAGCCGATCCTTGATAACAGTTTGTGTGTCTGCTTTATCCCCTGGCACCAATTAGCCTGAGAATTTCATCATAGCCCTTTCCTGGCAATAATAGTGCATGGCTGAAGAAGTCAAAGTAAACAAAATCCCATGTGACCCATGAAGGACTGGAGTGAAGCTGGTATAAAGCCTCCCTTGCCATTGTTGCATCGCTACAACTAGTACCTCACACCAGCACTGCCGAAATACTCCACAAAATTAAACCTGTCAACTGAGATGCACAAACAAGATTCAGAAGAGAGAAAGGTCAAAAGACAAAGTACAGGGCCACCCCCCCTTATCTCCAATATTTAGAGCTTGAAAACAGTGAGGCAAATTGATTGATGGTGTAACCTGGCTGACATGCAAGGAGTTAAGTTTTGGGTGTCCTTGGCCCTGTTTATTTAGGAGAGGTCTAAATGCTAGCAGCCGCTGTATGCCCAGCTCTGTTGACAGAGTGATGTTTGCCAAGTCAGGTAGGCTTTGCCATCATATAGCAGACACAGCACGCTGTGCAGAGGTGTTGTCCATATGCACGAGAGAGAGGGTCGCTGTCACAGAATGGGAGGATATGGGGTGTGGGAATTAGCCTGTCCTTCCTGCTAGGTAGCTTGGTTTTTGTTTAGGTTAAAAAGGAAATTGCATCCATTTGTGCAGCCCAAAGTCTAACAATTCACAAAATAAACATTTGCAACCACAAATGCACTGTGAAATCCTGCAGGTTTCTTTACTCTCTCTGGTGTCTGAACCTATTGCTTGAGCCAGCCAGTGACCAAAGGGCATCGATGTCTTTAGGGACAGTGGCAGCAGGAGTGCCATGTAAGACTCTGAATTGAGTTCCAGGTGCTTTAATAATGTAACAGACCTGCTAAGAACAAAAAATCAGTGTCCCTTACTGGACTTCTAATTTACCATAGCAGGTTGGAAATTGGTTTGAATCTCACCTGAGCAGCTTTCTTCCTGCCAGGGTAATAAATGAGAACTGGCACCTTTTTTGCTTTGGCTCACACCGTGGTTTTACTTACACAATGCAGCTGTGCTGCACAGTCCACCAAGGGTGTGTGTGGAGCCACTTGGGGTTTCTAAGAAAATCATTTGAGCCACCACTGGTTTCATATTGCATGAATGAGAAAAATCATTTAAGTGTTTGTGTGTTATGCTAATTATTGGGCTGATTAATTTATTTGCAGGTAGCAAAGACCAGAACCCCTATTCTAGTTAACAGTACTAGACATAAGATATAGGGCCCCGTGTTCATAGGCGTTGACCTGATTTACGATTCCAGCTCTTTAATGGCAATTGAATCTGCTGCAATTGATTCTTGATGTCAAAACAACATGCCACCTCATCTGAGGAGGCATAGAGAACAACAGTCATCCTGACTCTGAAAGCAATTTCCATGGGGAATAAATGCAATTCAAAAACTGTCGAGCAACAGGTCAGGATATAAGCAAGAAGGAATCCTAGATGTGTGTCATTAGAGGGAAAGAGGTTCATAAGAGAGAAGTGGGTATAGTTTATGAAGCAAATTGAAAATGAGTCCTGCTATTCAGTTCTCTGGCCAGCCATTCCCCAGAACAGAGCACTCCTGATAGCTCTGTATTGCTTTGGGCTCAGTACTGGCAGATGGAAGTGGCTGGAGGTACAGTCAGGAAATAGGGAACAGTCAACTTAACCAACTGCACAGCCCTGAGCAGGAGCAAGCTGAGTGCTTCTGGTAAATGCACAGTCCCACAGAGTGTGCCTGTGCAGATATCTTAGGCATCTGAGTCCCTTCGAAAGCAATGCCCAGTGTCTGGGATGTCCTTCTGCTGCATGGTCTCTGCAACTTACTAACCTATTCATTTACTACATGCAGCTGTGTGGTATTTCCAGGAGTGTCACAAAAAAGCACAGCAGGGATAGGAGTCAATTGGGCATTCCAGGAACAGGCACATACTGACCAAACCATGGTAGTTAGTCCCCAGCAGCTTCTCATCTGACACAGCAACTTTCTTAATAGGCCAGGCAGAGCATCCATGGGATGGGACTATGGAACAGATTCAGTTCGTACTGTGCAACCCTACATGAGCTTTTCTGTCCCTTCCACTCAGGATGGGACACCATCAATTCATAGATTGTTAGGGGCTGGAAGAGACCTCACAGATTATCAGGTCCAGCCCCCTCACTCTAGGCAGGAAGACAACTGGGGACAAGTGACCCCAGCGAGATGACTGTCCAGTCTCCTCTTGAAAATCTCCAGGGTAGGTGACTGCACCACCTCTGGAGAGAGTTTATTCCACAATCTGGACACCCTAACTGTGAAGGAGTTTTTCCTGGTATTAAGCCTGAAGCGCCCTTCCAGGAGTTTATATCCACTGGTCCTGGTCTTCCCCAGGGGTGCTGTAGTGAACAGTTGTTCACTAAGCTCCTGATGCACTCCTCTGATATAGTGGTAAATGGCTATCAAGTCCCATCTCAACTTTCTCTTCTTTAGGCTAAAGAGGCCAAGGTCCTTCAGCCTTTCCTCATATGGCTTGTCTTGCAAGTCCCTGATCATATGGGTGGCTCTTCTCTGGACCCTCTCAAGGTTTTCCACATCCTTATTGAAGTGCAGCACCCAGAACTGGACACAGTACTCAAACTGCAGTTTCACCAGTGTGGAGTACAGAGGGAGTATCACTTCCTTAGTTTTACATGAGATGCAATGGTTAATACATGCCAGCGTGTTGTTTGCCCTGCTGGCCACGGCATCACACTGATGGCTCATGTTCATGCGATGGTCAGTCATTACCCCTAGGTCCCTTTCAGCCATGGTGCAAGTCAGGCTGTCACCTCCGAGCCTGTATGTATGTTGAAAGGAAGTCAGGATGATAGCAAAGGGCTGCAGACACTTGTCTCTAAACTTTGCACCTTGGTGTTCCCTCCAAAATCAGTATCACTCCCCTCTCCCTATGTTTATTAGGGGGTGAGAGCATGTTTCCACTCTCAGGTGCTCCATTTTGTACTGGTCCCTAGTTAAGCACTGATGGTGCCATGCATTTCCTAGGAAACAGTGTTTGCTGGAATCAGAGTAATCTGAATTTCCCTGCAAGGCTTTTGCAATATGAGTCAATGAATTGGTGAAGTACAACCCCATGTGGTAGCTTATGGAGGAAGGGTATATTAAGAAGCAGTAGGTGAGGTGACGGTCACAAAGCTAAAATGGTAGGAGGAAAACATGGTGACAGAGTAAAAAAAAAAGAAGCAATTATGAGCAATTACAGCATATCTCCCCTTATCAAAGGACCAACAAGATTCAGCTGATGTTGGTGAAAACAAAAGTGCTCCCTGATT